CCCTTTTACATGAATTTTCAAATAGGATCATGATGCACTGAATTCATAGGACGTAATCATTCCTTCACTTGTCTCTTCATGTTGAAGTATATGCAGAAATATCATCTTACCTTCCCAGATGACAATGAAGTTACCTATCGGGCTCCCAGTTATTATATTTGCATGGCTTCAAATTAATGCTTAATTTCCCTCATTCATGCTCCTCTGAATTTGAATAAGTCATGTTCCTCCATAAACAAATCACATCAAACAGGACACATCTATAACAGGGTGGATATGAGGCATTTGTTTACCATCAGTGACTAAAAGATCTAACCCTGATAGTGTATTTCCACATCCATAGTGTTTTGGATGAAAACACAACTGTGAAGATGGGAAGCTGAATCAGGAAAGGACGACAAGATTTGCTTTTAATTTTTTGTCCTTTTTTGTTACAGTTAACAGGCATATATATATATATATATATATATATATATATATATATATATATATATATATATATATATATATATATATATATATATATATACAAATATATATTGGTTCTAATTTCTGTTTATAATGTCTTTATTCACTTTCTGCTGTTATTAATGGCAATGGAAAATCCCCAACAGCCTGGTAGGCCTTAGAGCGCTTTTACTGGAATATTCAAATAGGATCATGATGCACTGAATTCACAGATGATATCTTTTAGGTGTACTTACTCACTACATCGTCTCCAAACCAAAACGTACTAACTAAATCAGGAAGTTAACTATGTGATTGGCAATAAGGAGGGCAGAGACAGAGGACACTGAGTTTATTGAAAAAACATGCTTCTGTCCAGGTTAGCTCTGGGAATGATGATACTACGGTAACAGAAACAGTGGTTGAGGAAACTATCTTTGCGAAACAGAAAACTCAGAGTTTCCCTGATTTCAGGTTTAGGAAATTTAGAGTTTTCAGTAAACCTGCTTTGTAAAACCGTTCTCTTTCAACACAGAACTGCAGTCAGCATCCATGTCTTCTGCTGGGGGCCTTAGCACCAAGGACGTAATCATTCCTTCACTTCAATAAAACATTCTAATTGCCGCTTTTTCTCAGTGTGTCTCTCCAGGTTGAAGTATATTCAGAAATATTATCTTACCTTCCCAGATAACAGTGGGGTTACCTATTGGGCTGCCAGTTATTATATTTGCATGACTTAAAATTATTGCTTCATTCATGCTCCCCTGAATTTGAATAAGTCATGTTCCTCCATAAACAAATTGCATCAAACAGGACAAATGTATAACAGGGTGGATAGGAGGCATTTGTTTAACATCAGTGACTAAATGAACTTCGTGTCAGTAAGTGTTTATGCGGCAGATGAACTCAGGACTGCAATCAAATACAGCCAAGGTAAGTTTCTTAAAGTGCTCATCGATTGTGTAAAGATTAGGATATAAACTACTTACTTGGATATTGTCAAAGTTCAAACACTGGTAATGATTAATGAGATCTCAGATAATTGAATTCATTTACTCTCTTTATAATAGAATAGAATAGAATTGAATAAAATAGAATAGAAAATCCATTTATTGTCTGTTGTGATTTTATAATCAACGCTCATCCAGGTTGGATGCCATGCTATGGTGGGAATAACTGTTATATTCAATTCCCAGCCAGCTGGGAATTCATATTTTCTGATACTTTAAGACATTCATTACCCTCCCTGGTAGGGGTGGTAAATATCTTATGTAATCAGACATTATTTGGGCTGTTATATACTGTTTATGAACAAACGCCCTACTAGCTGTGTATTAGAACAATAAATTAAGAGTGATTCAAGCACTAATCATGGTCAAACAGTTATTTCTGCACATACATGGAATAAATAAACCACAACTTCTGTTCAAAATATAAGAAATTATTAACAACAATCACTCATCTCCAAGCCAAACATAATTCAGTTGAAAACTCTTACCTAAAACTAGTGAAACTCAAGTAAACTATACTACTATGTACAAAGAGGAAGGGCAACATGGTTGAAAACCATTTCACAGTTTAAGATGGATTTTGTGTTTGGAAACCAAAGTTTAACTGGAAAAATTTGGGATATGATCAAATTAGCTTTTCACTAATTTAGAGAAACTGTAATGTTTTCAGACCAATTCACAATGCAATCCATGAGGTGAATAAAAAATAATTTGGCCAAATATTGTTTTATTAAATGATTTGCTTAATCAATAACCTTCTGTCAAATGATTATTTACCCTCTTTGAAATAGCTAGCAGTGAATAGACATCAGGATTCCACTAAATGATTCTTGGTCATACTGAAATGAAATGAAATTTTATTCGAACATGATACAAATATAAAGAAAATAAAAAAGTGCACAGTAACAAGAAGTGCATAAAAAAAGAGAAAAAAAATACAGATTTTTGTTTCAATTAACATATCATGCTCAAAATGGGGTAGGAAGAAGTGAAAACTTATTAACTCCTACCCCCTAAACACTTGAAAACGTACAGTCCTACTGTTATTACAAAAAACAAAGTCAAGTGAAAGTCAAAGTGGCAGTCAGCAGTTACTAATATTTACCTAAACATTTCCTTTTTATGCTGGTTTGTCTTGGTAATGAAAATGTAATGAGCATCTGAGGAACACAAGAACACTAATGTCATATCAGTGCTTAAACCGTTAATGAAATGAAGCTTAAGCAAGAGCTCAAAATTTTATAACTGTAACATAGCAGAGCATGCAGTCCCTCCTGTAAGCTTTGTCTTTACCCATCAGTAAACACATGAAATGATCAATATCATCAAAAGTTTAAAAAAAAAATTCAACAGCTGTGGATATTTTTACAGTAATGGATATGTCAAAACCAGAAGGAATACCAGAGATATTAAAAAAATAAATAAATAAATGACAGCAGCATGTTATTTAACTGACTAAGAAGGAAACTGCAAAAATAAGCATCAATCAGGAGCATCTTTATTAGAAATGTTCACATCTAATGCTGCTTCTTAGCTAATTTCTTAAGAAAATTAAGGGGAACATTATTAGAGATGGAGAAAGTTTCTTCTTTGTCTTGTCTTGAACTTAAACAGCTTCGCTAGAGATTTGTTAGGGAGTCCAGATGTGACGATTTGTGTGGAACAGTCCCACTTTCTCACTTCTGTCCTAATATGCCACAAATCCAAGCAATGTCCTGCATTGGACGGGTTGAAATCAGAAATACAAATCAGGGAAAAAAATGAAAATATATATTTTTACTGGTCCTTTCCCTAAATGTGAACAAAGCAGAGCAGTTGGACAACTAGAATCACTGACAATAATGATTATTTAATTTATATTTCTGGAAATTGGAAAGGCTGTTTTTAGTGTTTCTTGATAAGTTATACAAGTGATGGTTTGCCTATATTCATGCTACATAACAGTAAGATAAAAATGAAAAAAATAAATTTTAAGAAAAAAAAAAGCATGTAAATGTGATCTTTGTTTTGGGCCCTCTGTCGTGTACCTTGCCACATTTGGCATTGCTGGCAGGATCCATGTGCTATATAAGAAAAAAATGATCTATGCATTGGAAAATGGGTGTGACAGCCTTAGTGGAGTACGAGGATGTGCTAGGGAAAGAGATGTGTGGACTCCTGCCACCAACTCATTTTGCATCTTTACTACGGCCAAGGGGATATCCCTTTGGGTGACAGTGTGCATCAGTTTCACCCATGAGTCTGGGGATCAAATCCTTCCTGGGTTCTCTATTGTGTTCTTTGCCATGTTAGAATCAGATCAGATGAAAGAATAAAAAAAAATCCTATAATAACCTGTTAAAGGAAGACTGGAGTAGGGTATTTGTGAAGTATGTAAATGTGACTTATGAAACATTTTTACAAGTATTAAAGTCATTACATGATAAGGATAGCCCAATATTAGTGTGTCATAACAATAAAAAACACGATGTAAAACCCTGGATGATCAAGGGACTGGTAAAATATTGGGAAATGAAATACAAGATATATAAATGAATTAGCAACATTACTACAGCAAGCTAAGCAAGACGTATACAATTCTATGTTGATAGAGAGAAAAAAAAACATTGAAAATATTGAATAGTATTGTAACACCTAACTATACTCAATGTCCTGATACATTCTTTAATGGAATAACATTGACAAAGGTAGATTATTCTTACATTTGAGTAAGTAAAACATTTATTTATGACGCACCTTTCAGAGACATTGAGGGTCACAAAGTCATAATATTAACAATTATCACCACATACATATAGTTTAATATTCACAGAAAGAACAGCCGACACACTGGAGTTGTTAAAAACCTTTGTAAAAGAGATACATTTTGATCCCACTCTTAAAAGCATCCAATTAATCAAGAGAACTTAACAAGAGCAGATCATTCCTCAGCCTTGGTGTAATGGCCTGGAAGGAGTGACCCCCTCAAGTCAAAACGAGTGCAAGGGACGATGAGAAGATTCTGATTCATTGAGTTGAGCCTTTGAGAAGGCATATATACGACTACAACAGGGCTCTGATGAATGGGGGAGCCTGAACATAAGGCGCTTTAAAAGTCAGCACAAGGATTTTAAGTGAAAAACCAATGAAGGAGATTTAAGGAGAAGGAGAGATATTAAAATCTCTGTCCCTTTCAAATATTCTGTTTTGTTGGGTTTATTTGTTACTTTGAAATGTAATTACATATTTATGTGTATGTGTTTGGTTATTTGTAAGTGTGTAATTCTGTGCCTCCTGTGATTTATTATCCAGGGTTAGCAAACTGAAGTATAAATTATTACATCCATCATGACATAATACATTATATTAGTGCAAAACAATCCCAGTTTCTTTTCATTTATCTATTTAGATATATGCACAGAGCATTAAATATATATTTAAGCCAATATATTTCAGAAAAATAAGTCTCATATTTTCTTTTAACTTTAAATCTTATACATGGCTGTTTTTTCCAGCAGGATGGGACACATCAATGCAAGCAAAAATGACAGCTGTAGCGAAACCTTTCTCAAGACTGATGATCATTACATGAAAGTAGTGTACTTCTCTATCATTGGTGTTGGAATTTTTGTGACGCTTGCAGCTCTGTCTGCTGTTTTCTCAATGGTGAGTACCTTGTGGCCATAGTTTCCTTTTCTAAATGGATATGTCTGATAAATGAAACATTTGGTTAAAGATGAAAGTAAACAAGCAGCTGTTTTGTTACGGAAACTTCTTTTTTTTGCAGTTGAAAAAAGACAACGGTGCTCCGGTTTTCATAATCAACCTTCTCATTTCGGACCTTATTCAGCTCAGCACCATGACTGCTCTGTTACTACCCAATGCTGGCTCTATAACCATGTACACCTACTTTTTAGGTTTGATGATCAGTGTTGGATTCATGATCTGTATCTCAATAGAAAGGTAACTTAGTGTTTTACTGCATTTCTAAAGTCTTATCACTTGTATCTCGCTAACTTTCCAAAGATGTGTTCGTTGTGTTTCATTTCAGGTATTTGCTGATCGCCAAGCCATTATGGTACAAGTTCAAGCGAGACATCAAAATGACTGTGTTGATCTGTGTCTTTGTCTGGGTCTTTCCTCTTATTCTAATTCCCAATTTCTATTTGTTTCTCAATTGTGAGATCAGATTTATAATCGGTGTTATTCTCCTCATCCCCTTTCCCTTCTTCATCTTCTTCCTATTTGGGACTGTTAAAGCCCTTTCTACATGTGTCAGTGTCCCTGCTGTTGAAAAAACAAGAATTGTTCTCATTCTGGTAATAGTTTTGCTAATGTACTCAATGCTTTTCCTGCCTATTATCATTTTATTCATATCAGACAAAACTAATCGAAATTCACATCTTGAACGTGCAGCCCCAATTTGTGTTTTTCTTAGTCCTTTGGTAGACTCTGCTATGTATATTCTAATGAAAAAAGATGTCCTGGAGAATATTTCTTCCTTATGCCATTGCTGCAAAAATCCCACCAATCAGCAGACTAACAGTAACGATGAGAGCAACATGTCAGTAATTGAGACGGTCTAAGATTTCAGAATATTATCTGGACTTTGATGCCTAAAATCCATGACAACATAAACTATACTACTAACAATTGCCCCATTAAATCTGATATTGTATTCAGGTGGAGAAGTTACTTCTAAAGACCATGAAAATAAGGGAAATAATGGGTGGCTCTCAGTTAATTCTTGTAAGCCTTGTAACATCCAAGAGGGGTGTCAGCAAATCTATAGCTACAGATCCAGCCAAACTTTAAAGAGATTCCAGCTTAACCAAGGATGGTGCTACATAGGATTCTCAATTAGATCCGTAAATGCACTGGTAAGGCAAGCAAGTTTATTTAGCACGTTTCAGCAGTATGAAAAATCAAAATGCTGCATATGAGAAGTAAACAAACAGAACATTGTAGTGGCACCAAAGCATTTCAAATTATTATAAAGAATAAAATTATTAATTTAAGCAAGACATCCATCCATCCATCTTCTTTTGCTTGTCCGGGGTCATGTCGTGGTGGTAGCAGCTTTATTAGGGAGACCCAGACGTCCCTCTCCCTAGCCACTTGGGCCAGACCTTCCGGGGAGATTCCAAGGTTCTTTTGGTCATCTCATCGATATTATATACAGTAAACAATGATTGATCAAAAAAATAAAGGAAGAGTTTACCATTTTAAACATGTTATTTATTCGTCATCCTGCCGTTTTCATTCTGTGCTTTGTGATGTATTGTAGTTCATTGACACAATTCAAACAGATGAATATTTTTTATTCCATAGTCTCTGCAACTGATCACATCACTAATTTGAGTAAAACTATTTGAAATGACCAGCAGCATTCATCACCTAATGGCTCATCCAGTCAACCTGGAGATATTAAAAAGACTTACAGTGCTGAAAGACTTAGCCTAGAAAAACATTTATGCATCAAAGGTTAGAAATTCAACTGTTACTGCATCCGCCAGCAGCGCATCCACTACTTCAACTACTTCGTACAGTTTAATTGTTCTTTTTTTATCTCTTTTTCCCATTTTATATTCTAATTCATCCCTTTCATTTTAATCAACCTTCTCTGTTTTGTTTTGGTAGTGACCCAGATGCAATTATTTTTGTTAAACTGTTGTATTCATAGTTATTATTGTAGGCTAGTGATTTAATTTCCAATACATTGTATTCAATTAAAACGCTATAAAGACCTGTTAAACTGCCTCATGGCTCATGATTTGCATCCTGGTCCAGAGCAGAAAAGTCAGCTGGTGTGTGGGCATCCCTGTCATTTATGCTTTTTGGTTGTAAACTGGGTTTACTGGCAAAATGTTGTATGCAGAGTAATAATGATAAAAAGGAGGGAAAGTTATCAGGAGCGTCCAGAAATATGATTGTATGAATATGTTTTAGTATCTATCATGATTCTGCCCTTTCTGGACTTTTTGGTTCAGCTTAAGTTTTCACTTTGGGTTTTCGGGTATTTTGATTTATATTATTCTGTGTTTTCTAAGTCATTGGTTTTATTCCCATTTAGTGTCTTCCAAGTTATTCTTTAGTGATATTTAAGCCCTGTTTTATTTCTTGTTTACTCTCTGTTGTCCCCTTGTGCCAGTCTCCTTTCCCCTACCTCCATTCAAGATCCTTCTGTCCTCCCAATTAGTTGATTACTTCAGTTATTGTTCTGTATAGCATATAAACAGAACAATGGATGGAGTTAACGTTTGCTGATGCTGATGAAGGTTCTCAGTCATCCAGGTCAAAGTCATTCCGTAAAAATTCAAAAAATATCCACTGGACTTGGTTTTCAAGATTTGAAGACGTTTCGCCACCTCTCCAGGAAGCTTTCTCAATTCAAATGTCTGGATCCGCAGTGAGTTTGAGTCTTATATTACAGGCTAACGATGGAACTAATGACCCATTCATCGGTTATCATTGCATGTTTCCAAGCGATACAAGGCGTTGTCTATATAAGACTCAAACTCACTGCGGATCCAGACATTTGAATTTTAATTTTTACGGAATTAACGTTTGCTGGATTCTCTTCATCCCTTAATTACCTCATTCCTCCATTCCTTTTCTTTATTCCTCCCTGTGTCTCCTAGTTTTTGATTCTAGTTTTTGGTTCCTGAGTTTCTTGTTGATTGGCTCTGGATTATGACCTCTGCATTTTTACTTCTTCATCAAATTATTCAAGAAAAAATCTCTTCCTCTTTATCTCTTCATGCGCATCCTCAACAACTATCCACTAATCCTGAGTGTGTTGGATGCAAGCAGGACTCTGAAGAGGGGTGTCATGATGTTACAAAGTTCTGACCCAAATGCAGAGAACCGAACAGAGAGACCAGGGAAAAGGTTTTACCGGTTTTATTGAAGAAGTTAAACAGAGGGAGAAGTGTTGCTCTGAACATTGCTCAACCGGAACTGTAAAGTAAGGGGAGGACACAGCGGTTAATTCAGGCTCAGTGCGGAATTTGATTAATGAACTTGGAGAAGAGGATTTGGTTGCCAACTCACGTTTCCAGAGAAGTGGTTGAATCCTTGACTCCTGTCTGTGTGCCGTGGTTCCAGTGTTTGTCGAATTTGGTGGAGGGCAGAACAGGGTTAACCAGAATGCGGTTGTTAGTTGGTGAACAGAGAAACTTACCGCCACTCAGATTTCCTGCTTTACTTGAACTGGTCATAGTGTAGAATAATCCCTTCCTCAGTGAGAAGCTCGAACGATCTCTTGGGGAAAGTGGATCCAAACCTCCTGTTTGAACCCCAGCTCAGTTTGAAGCTCAGTTGATCCTTCCAAGGAGAGAGGGTTCGAGAAAACCGGTTTGCAGGATGACTTCCTGCTGAGAGGCAAAGACAAAAAACAAAGTTAAACTCAGGTTGACAAAAACTCAGTTTGACTCCGCAAAACTTAGCTTGGCTAGAGTACCCTAAACTGGCAAACACTCTGGCGTTGAGTTAATGGCAGTCAGCAGCTTAAGAACTCTCCGTTTAAAGGAAACCATCAGCAGGTGTGTGAGGAGGCGGACCAGAACCAGGCGCCTCGTGGTGGATGAAGGGAGACAAACACAGAAAAACAAACACTAAGACAGGAGTCCTGACAATGGGAGGCTGAGTCAGGAAAGACATCTAATTTTTTTTGTTTTGCCCTTTTTTGTTTTGGAATTGAAAAAAACTATAAAAGGCATATTTTTTGTTTCTAATTTCAGTTTATAATATCTTCATTCACTTTCTGCTGTTATTAAATGCATTGGAAAATTTGATAGGCCTTAGAAAGCTTTCACTGGGGACTTCCAGCATGGTTGCCACAACAACATAAAATTTGAACAGGATCCTGGTGCACTGAAATCACATCAAGTTTTTTGAGGTGTACTTAGTCGCTACACCATCTCCCAACAAAAGAAAGTTGTGAGAGCAAACATAAATTTTGACCTCTTTTAACAAGGAACTGCAATCAGCATCCATGTCTTCTGCTGGGGTCTGAGCACCACAGAAGTATGCGCAAAAAGGTCAGCTTACCTTCCCAGATAACAATGTTGTTACCTATTGGGCTACCAGTTATTATATTTGCATAGCTTCAAAATATGTATTCGCTTACGGTTACACACCTCATTCATGCTCTATTAAATTTGAATATGTCATCTATAGACAGAGTAAACCAGACAGATTAAACAATATTTAGGTCATCACCCGCTTCCAATGTTCAGTGACATTTTGTACTGACTAATTTAAGATTATTTGTGTTCTATAGCAAGTAGATCTTTAACCATAAAAGACAACTTTCTAGATATGAAGAGCACATTTTTCTTGTCTCTTATCTTCACTGCCATGATACAGTAAATTGCAAATAAAATTGTGAAATTTACAGTTATATCAGCCTTGTGTACATTATGTAGATTGAGGAATTGATTTTGGATAAACAATTTGATAAAAGAGCATTTAGCTAATAAACAGAGGATTCTGAAACTGTTAAAATCATCAGGGCAATTCAGTTTCAATTTAGTTCATTTATATAGCGCCAATTCACAACATATATGATCTCAAGGCACTTTGCAGATAAAAATAAAAAAGATTATAAAATAAGATGGGTTCAAAGTCGGGACGCAAACCTAATTCAATATTCAATGACTTTTCATGATAGTTTATTCCCTCAAATATCAGAGCCTTAAACTTAAGCTATTAGTCTTAATTTTCCCTATATCAATAACTTAATCCCAACAAGAAGCTAATTTAACTATCAAAGCTTTTCTTAAACAGAACATATATACAAACCAGTTATCTATTGGACCTTATTATACATTTCCAAACACAGTTTTAATTTTTATTTTAAGATCTTTTTCACTCTTCTTGATAAATCATACACCTGGTTCAACTATGTAAACAAGAGATTCCAATGAACATGTGTAGGCCCACACATTGCCTTTGGCTCTGTCAAACTGTTTTAGTCATTTGAAGCAGTGGGTGCTGTTGTTCAACCAACCTAGACTTAATTCACATCTTAGTTCTTACACCAACACCTAAACAAAGAGCATTTGTACGTATTGGAATCAGACATTGGCCCCCACTAGAGCACTCAGTCCCCACAATGTGCTATAATTTACGGAAAATGATCCCAACGATATAAGAAATACATCGTGGGGACACTATTGCAAGATTAATTCCATGATCAGTAAAAAAAATTTGTTGTTGTTTTTCATTCAGTAATATTTTTACCACAACCCCCAGAAGAGATCAATGCTTTATAAAAATCAAGTTATACAAGATAAGTTATTCCATGCTTTCAAATAAACCACTCAGCTTGGGGAATTATTGTTTGTTTTAGATTTTCCCATTAGCTGATATATTAACAACAACAATACTTTAATGGATAAATTCCATTAAAAGCCACAGAGAAATCAATAGTAAGTATTCTTTCAGACTCAAAGGCAGTACTACATAATAAAGAATAATTTTGAACAGCAATGTCCAATCCAGCAGAACAGCTAAATAAACAAAAAAGAATCTAAAAGTTATTTACATGTGTATAATATTTTGAAAGAAATTAAATCATATT